TTCCCTTCTTCCCTTCCCTTCTTCCCTTCCCTTCTTCCCCCCCCTCCTCCCCTCTTTCCGTCCCTCCTTCCCTCACTCTCTCTCTCTCTCTCTCTCTCTCCCTAATGAGAAATAGTTAATGAAAACTGTATGCTACAATGTCTTTCATATAGCAACAGTATTTTGAGGTAACCCCGTTAATATGCATCTGTATCTGTATTTTGTTATGTGCATCTTTTATATATCAGAAATATGTGAGGTGTGCTGACAAAATGAGTTTCTTCTCGGATTCGAGACCTATGGAAATAGATATGTCACCCTTATAGGTGAAGTTTTTACAATTTATAAGTATGAAATAATAAAAGGCTTATTATTAATATTATACTTAAAGAATACCGCATCAATAGAAAATTTGCAAATTTGACCCAAGTGTCGATTTTTGGCAAATATTTCCATTTGTGGATTGCATTGCGAGAAGTAACTCATTTTGTCAGCACACCTCACATCTATATGCATTCTTTTTCTTTTAAAAGCTACAACCAGCTTCTTGCATTGAAGCAAAACTTGATGGAAAACTAACGTGCTCAGACTTTCATCTTGTCATAGGGTGATTTGCTAGGGTCTCTTCTGCTACTTATTTTTTGCTCACAGGTAAACCTTGGGGTGTGGGTACTTGGCGGGTGCTCTGGTGTGGTTTGATTGCTCTTTCTTTTCTACCGAACATCTATCGCCCTCATCTCTCCTCCTTTTTTGTGGTTGTTTCTCACTTGTAACACTTCTAATCTTCGGTACTTATATGACCTTATTGCATTGCAAGTGCCATAAAAAATCTAAAACTAAAGAAAGAAACCTTTGGGTTTTTGGGTCTTTATAACTGGCATCTGTGGTGTAGCAGTTAGGCTTGTCATCGTCGCACGCAGAAGACCCAAGTTTGATTCCCATGTGGGGAGAATTTGTATCGAGTATCTCGGTCTGTCTGCTGGGATGTTGTATCTCTTTCAGTCCAGATTGGTTATTAAAGGCAGATGGTCAAAGTTGGCTCTCTAAATGACCTGAAATGGTCGCTTTTAAGCACAAGGGGGCTATCCCGAAAAATGCTGTTTTGAGAAAATTGGAGGTAAAGTTTTTGCCCCTTGTTCA